CCACCCCCCCCACACACACAGCCTCTCACGCACGCCCCCCCCCCTCTGCGCCCCCCCACCTTCCCGGTAGGTGCGTGACCTGCTGCACAAGCGCATCCGCGACTCGTACCTTCACCCCGGCTTCCAGGCAGACGTCATGAAGCCGCTGGCCATTGAGCACCTCATGGACAACCAGGTCCAGACGCTGTCGGGAGGTGAGCGGGCACCCGGCCGTGGGAGGAGGCTGACGCAGGGACGAGGCGGCGGGAGGCGGGAGGTTGCAGGGGGGAGCGCGGGGGCTATGCCAGGAGCCCACGCCGGCCACTTGGCTGTGCACATATATACACACGCAGCCCTTGCCGGCCCGCGCGCCCGCGGTGCCGTCTCTCACGCCCGCCGTACCGCCCGCGCCGCTCACTCGTACCGCCGCCGCCCTCGTCGCCCCGCAGGCGAGCTGCAGCGCGTGGCCATCACGCTGTGCCTGGGCCAGCCCGCCAACGTCTACCTGATTGACGAGCCCTCGGCCTACCTTGACTCTGAGCAGCGCATCCTGGCCGCCAAGGTCATCAAGCGGTGAGGGAGGGAGGGAGGGAGGGGGCGGGAGAGCGGGGCGCAGCTGGAGGCGTGTGCGTGGCACGGCGCGGCGTGGGGTGCGCCCCCTTGCTGCCACAGGCTGCATCTGGTTTAGGGGCCTTTGCGCCGCGCCAGCCGAGCTCGCGGGAGCTTGGCGCCGCGCCCCTGCCTCGCAGCGGCGCCTGCTTGCACGCCCTGCCGTGCCGCCCGCCGCCCTCCTACCTCCCAGCAGCACAGCCCTGCCCTGCCCCGCCCTCACCTGGCTGGCCTCACCCGCCCTGAGCTGGCCTCACCCGCCCCGCCCCGGCTTCCCCGCAGCTTCATCATGCACAGCAAGAAGACGGCGTTCATCGTGGAGCACGATTTCATCATGGCCGCCTACCTGGCAGACAGGTGCTGGCTTGCCGCCTTTGATTGCTGCTTCTGCAGCCTGCATATGCCGCTGAGCAGCTCGGACCGGCCGGCTCCGCGTGCTTTTTCTTCCGCAGCAGAATCAATGTCGTCGTACTTACGGCCTTGGCTTGCTGCACCATGGCGTAATCTCTGCCTGCTGGGGCTGCCCTCCACACCGCAGCATCCACACGTGCACACATACGCATGCACACCAGTACATCCCCCCCCCACACACACACACACCCCCACCACCACCACCACACACACAACACACACACGCATGTGCCTGCCTGCCTGCAGGGTCATCGTGTATGAGGGACAGCCATCCAAGGAGGCCACCGCCCGCACGCCGCAGTCGCTGCTCACAGGCAAGCTGTGCAGCGCCGCCGCGTCCCTCCCGCATTTCACGCTGCACCCTTGTTTGCGCCCTCCACCTGCTGGCCCCGCCTCGCCCCCGTCTGTCCGCTTCCCTGTGCCTCCCTCCTGCCTCGCCCAGGCTGCCCGCCGCACCTCTGCGATGCCCTGGACATGACATAAGTACCGCCTTGTGTACCGCAGGGATGAACACCTTCCTGAAGAACCTGGAGATCACGTTCCGGCGGGACCCCACCAACTACCGGCCCCGCATCAACAAGAAGGAGTCGACCAAGGACCGGGAGCAGAAGCTGGCGGGAACCTTCTACTACCTCGAGGACTGAGGAGGTGGTGCTGTGGGAGGTACCATGCTACGGTACCATGGACAGCACCTGGACATCGCGCACGCAGCCGCCGCCAGCCCAGCAGGCTGAGCAGGCAGAGGGCTGGGCTGCAGTTGGGCTCGCGCCACGGCCCGGCAGCCCTGGGCGAGGGCTGCCTGGCGGCGAGAAAGCGTGCCTGCCTGGCCAGGCCAGCGCCCGGTAGCAGCAGCAGCCACAGGGCAGCGATAGACTGCCGCAGGCGACACGTGTGCAGTACACATTTCATCTGGCGCAGGCCGCTCACAGCCGCCCGCGCCCAAACTGATTGTTGGCCGACCTGAGAGCGCTGCTGTGCATTGCTTACAAGTGAATCGCTCATAGAAAAAGGTTGTAAGCTCATGATGCAGCACTGCTTCGTCGCGCTCAAAGGTCAGTCAAGAGGGCTCGAGTATGTGGAGGTTGTCAGTCACGCCAGTGGCGGCAGCGCAGGGAAGGCGATGAGGGGAGCTGGAGGGCTCGGCAGCTCTGCGTCAGCGGGGGAAGTGAGGGAGGGCCGCCCATTCGTGAGGCCCCTGGCTCAGCCTGCAAGGATTAGCAGGGCAGGGAGGTCGGCGCAGTGTGCTGGACAGTGCTGAAGGGAGTTGAGAGGACAGCACAGGCAAACAAAATGTCCCCGGCAGCTAGCCGTTCAACCACTGCTCCTGCAGCGCGCTCAGGCAGCGCATGCCTCCCCTACCTGCTAGGGCTTGGTCTTCCTGATGCACCTGTTCCCACGCCTCGCATACGGCGGCCGGCATGCGCGGCACCGGGCTGGCTTGATTGGGTCGCACGACAGGCAGGTGGAGGGGCACTGCAGAGAGGAGCCAGCACACAGTGTAAGGGGCGAGAACGTCAGGTGGGCTCAGCGCGGGTTGTTCAAGGAACTGATTGTTGGGCGAACGGCAGCGGGGCGTGCCATCCCTGTGTTCCCCTCCTCCAGCAACCCTTGCCTGATGCGCTACACGCGTCAGTCACCTGCATGCATCCACCACCACCACCACGCTCTCCGCCCCCCGCACCTGCACGCAGACGCCCTTGGAATCCAGCGAGTAGCCTCCTGCGCACTGGCTGCACTTGTCCTTCAGGCAGCCCAGGCAGATGGCGTTGGTGGTGCAGGTTGGCTTGGGCAGCTCCCGCCGGCCGTGCACCCCTGCGGTGTGTGGACCGGCAGCGGCAGCGGCAGTGGGGTGGCGGTGGCGGGGTGGAGGCATTGCGCTGCCCTTAAAGGGTACGGGCCGCACGCTGGGGTACGATTGCACTAATGCACGGCCGGCTGGCCGCCGCGGAGAGCCACCAGGGGCTGTTCACGACAGGCGACGTGCGAGCACATATGACCGCATGTTCACACGGCCGCCCATCGGCGGCCTGCACTTTGTCAGCCATCACCACACCGCAGCTAACGCCGGAACCGCAACGCGACACACCCGTTGCAAGCAGCGCGAACAGGAGGACGGTGACTAGCTTGCCCATTCCGCCTTGCCTTTGGGTTATGACTTAATCAAGAGCTAAAAGCAGGGAAAATGAAAGCCGAGAGGAGCAGGGGGCGTGAGGCTCTTAAATGAGGCAGCAGCTGCCGCACCGGGTACAGCGCCCCCCGCCGCTTGCTTACATCATTCTTACCGGCAGCTGGAGCAAGATCTGCCCCCCAAACAGCAGCAGCAGTCATTGAGCGAATGGATTGAGGGTGGGTCAAAGCAGTGTCTCTGCCCACCAGCCGCGACGCCTGTGCATCGCTTGGCCGGGGGCCGTCAGCTGAGTCGCCGCCAGAAGCGCCAGCCTCAATCCAGCACCGGGCTGAGGGCCTGCCCTTCCTCCTCCATGCCCGCTCCCGCCACGCCGCCTGCGCCCTCCAGCGGCTGCTGCAGCGATGCCAGCAGCGCCCGAAGGCTCGCCTCGTTGCTCTTGGTCATGGCTCCTGCGAGTAGGAGCGGGCGATGCGGCATGAAAAGAAAGCACAAGGGGAATGAGCATGAGGGGAAAGATGTGCTAAGCGCCGCCCTCGAGCAAGGGCACACATCCGACCGCAGTTCCGGATCCGCTGCCACCCGCACACCCACCGCCACCACATGTGGCCCGTAATGCAACCCCAAACCCGCTCCCGCACCTGTGGTGACATAAAAGTGCAGGCAGGCGGCCACGGCAGCGGCCACAGAGTCCAGGCTGCCGCCCAGCAGCGCCGCCGCCTGGCGCCGCGCCTCGCCGCAGTCCTGCAGCCAGGGCAGGCCGGGGCGGGGCGGGGGTGGGAGGCTCTGTCTCAGGGGCAGGCTTGCCGCTCTTCGCTGCATCAAGAGCCGAGCAGCACCATCCCCGGGGATGCCATCTCCGCTTGATTGATCCAAAGCGCACATCGATTCCCCGACTTCACTCCCATTGAAAGGGCCACATTCTGCTGTGCCCCAAGCGCCTGCCCACCCATGGAACGCAAGCACTGTGTTCCAGCACTGCCAACACTGCCTGCAAGTGTGCAGTGCTTCCCACCTGTATGAGGAACCCCAGCAGGATGGCGGCATACGCCTCGGCGATGGAGGCGTGGCCCCCGGCATCCGACGTCTCCAGGCAGTCCACCGTCACCTCCCCGCTGCCCAGGCCCAGCCGCTTGGCCAGCCCCCCGCCAGCCGCCGCCGCTGCGGGCAGGTGGAAAGACAGGGGGTGTCAATAGGAGGGCGGGATGAGGGCGGCGGCGCGCAGCAGCGGCGGGACAAAAAGCAGGGGGAGCAGTGAAAGGCCCCAGCAAGCTCCCCACAGCACCACTTTCTGTGCCCAGCCGCGACCATGGCGCCTCGCCTCAGCGCAGCCCTAGCCCGCCCCAGCGCTTGCCTGCTGCCGTGGGCGTGCCGGCCGAGGCCTCGGCCCTGGCCCGCGGCGCCACCGCCGCCAGCAGGGCGCACAGCAGCGGCACGACGTGCAGCGGGGCGCCGCCGCTGCCGCCGCCGCCGCCGGCGACGTCTGGCAGCTGCAGCAGGCGCAGCTGCTGGCGGCGGCTGGGCTCCTGCTCCACCAGGTTGGTCAGCAGCATCAGGCAGTAGCTGCGGGCAGAGGGCGCAGAGGCGCAGGCAGCGGCCGTCGATGCGCGCAGCTGCCCAGCAGGCGGCCTGCCAAGCATGGCAGCCTCTGCCCAGCCGCCTCTGCCCGGGCATGCAGGGCCAGGCAGGCGGCAGACCACAACCCCAGGCTTGCTGCGTGCGCTGAGCTGGAAAAGTGCTGCGCTGTGCTGCGCTGAGGGAGCGGCCCACCTGAGCTCATCTGACCACTCGCCCAGCTCCTGTCGGCTGGCAGCCACACCTCTGATCTTGGGCCCTCCTCGAACCAGCTGGGCAAGCACCCGAGCCACCGCCCCGAGCGCCCCCGCCGCCACCACCGCCGCGCAGCCCGCCGCGTTGCTCTGGGTCAGGTTCATCAGCACAGCCAGCAGCGCACGCAGGCAGTCCTGCGGCAGGCGGCGCAGGAGGGAGCAGTGGAGGCAGGGCCCGGTGGGGCATGTGATCAACCCAAGCAGGATGGCCAGCGCAAGGCGTGCTGAGCTGCCACAGGAATTCTGGCAGCCAGAAGCCTGCAATGGGCACTTTCACCACCAGCTGCTGCACCTTCTTCACTCCAGTGATGAGCGCCTGCCGCGCCAGCAGCGCCAGCTGCGCCACCAGCCAGCCGACCAGCCCTGCAGGCAGGACGGCAGGCAGGTGGAGGGACGGCACCGCTGTCAGCACAGCACAGCGGCGGCACGAGCGGGGCCAGCCGCAGGGCTGCTGACTACCACAGCAACCAAGAACATTACCGGAGTGGCAGCAGAGGCAGAGGTGCGCCATTCGCTGCTGTCGGCAGCAGCAGGCACGCTGGCAGCCGGCGCACCGGTGGTGGCCACCAGCGGCGGCAGCCCCGTCTGTACCGTCACCGCCAGCAGCCGCGCCTCGTTGTCGGGGCAGGCGAAGCAGACGTTCTCCAGTACCAGTAGCGCCCTGTGGCACGGCAACAGCGGCCGTGGTCCTTTGCAGCAGAGCAGCAGCATGGCGCTGCCCAGCCCGCCGCGGCAGCAAGAGCGCTGCCCAGCACAGCTGGCGCAGCCTTGCCAGCATGGCGTGCCGCAGCGCGCGCAGCTGGCCGCCTCACTTGTGCAGGCGCCACAGGTGGCGCACGGTCTGGATGGTGGGGCTTGCGTCGGCCAGCGCCGCAGCGTGCTCCGCCGCCACCTGCGCCGCCGCCTCCAGCGCGCCCGCCTCCCGCAGCGCCCGCTTGAGCGGGTCGGCGTTGATGGCGGTGTCGTGGGGGTTGAGGCATCCTGCAGTATAACAGTACAACAGTACAACAGCACAAGAATGAGGGGGTCGCAGCGAGGGATGCCGCTCCGCACACCGGCGCTGAGACACTGGGGCTGAGGGAGTCTGCTGGGCAGCGCAGAGGCGGGGCCGAGAGCGGCAGGGAACGAACCACTGAGGAAGGGCGCTGCACGATGGAACCAACACCCCACCCGCAGCGGCGAGGGAGGTCCAGAATGCAGGGGCGCACGCACAGACGCATGCTCACAACGCACCTGCCAGCGCCACCAGGGCCAGCGCCAGCGGGCTGCCCCGCTCCTCTGCTTGCACCTGTGCCGAGTAGGGCCGCTCCCTGAGGACCACCAGCAGCCTGGCGGCGGCGGGGCCGTCGCCAGTGCCGACCTCCAGCGACCCCGACAGCTGCAGGCAAAAGGGGGTGGTGAGGTGTGGGTGGAACGGTGCGGTGCGGCGGTGGGCGTGGCGGAGCGGGAGAGTGCGGGCAGCGGAGGGGCTGGGCTGCACGGGGAGTTTACAGTGGCGCCCGACAGCCAGGCAGCTTGCTTCGTGCACGAGGGCGCCGCTGCCAGGCGCCAGCCGCCGCTGATGTCAGCAGGCTGCCATGCGGGCGCGGCTTGCCTTGAGGAGCAGGGCCGCCGCCGCCGCGACCTCCCGCCGCCCTAGCAGCGCCGCGTCGGCGTCGGCCTGGCAGAAGCAGAGCAGCAGGGTGGCGAGGCCCAGCGCCTGCACAGGGTCCTGCTGCACTTGGAGCGTGCCTGCAGGCAAAGAGGGCAGGCAGGCAGCACAAGGCGGGGCAGGCATCGCATCAGGCAGGCAGGCAGGCTGGAAGGCAGGCTGGAAGGCAGGCAGGCAGCACGTCAGCACAGCTCCCGGGCGCGGGGCGGCAGCGACAACGGGATGCGTGCAGCTACCCGACGGCAGCGCAGCAAGGGCAAGCGGCAGGCAACGGCCTCGTCCAGAGGCCCCGCACCTGCTGCCGCCAGCACATCGGCGGCGATGTTGCCGCTGCGCAGCGCCAGGCGGCCACGCCTGCACCACGCACCAAGCCCAAGCACCCGGGCAGGCAGGCATGAGGGCATGAGCGGGGCAAACCGCAGGGCCGGCCGGGAGGCGGGCAGGCTGGCAGGCGGACAGCCAACCACAAGCAGGCAGGCAGGCAGGCAGGCACCTGGTGGCGCAGATTTCGGCCAGTGCCGCCAGGCTCTCCCGTGCGGTGGTGTCGCTGCCAGAGGCCAGGCCATCCAGGGCCCACAGGGCGTCGTCACTGCAGCGGGCGCGGCAGGCATGGCGGCGAGGCAGCAAGGGACGAGTGATTGACGCCGCCTCTCCAACACAACATCCAGTCAGACCCCCGCCGCTACCAGGCCCGCGAGCCAGTAGCCAGCCAACCAGTCAGCTCAACGGCAATGGCCAAGAGGCAGGCTGAGGAACGAACGTGATGCTCTGCTGCTCGCCCAGCGCCTGCGCTTGCACCACCGTCGTCGCCGCCGCCTGCTCCCGCAGCGCCGCCGGGCGCAGCAGGCGCGTCAGGGCTGCCATCTGCATCCCTCCCAGGCCGCCGCCGCGCCCGGCTGCCGTGCCCGCTGCCCCGGCGGCAGCCGCGGGCGCCGGCGCCGGCGGGCCGGCAGCCTGGGCCCCACGCCTGCTGGCGCCGCCGCCGCTGGCCCCGGCTGTCCGTGAGGGCGCCCTGGCTGGCGCTGCTGCTGCTGCTGCTGCTGCAGGGGCTGCTGAAGCTGCCAGGGCTGCTGCCGCTGATGTGGCTGGCTCTGCGCCGCTGGCACTGCCTCCCTTCTTCATCTTCTTGCTTGGCGACCGCCCGGGGCTGGGCTCGAGCTCCCGCTCGTCTGCTGCTGGCGCAGGTGCGACGGGGGCCTTGCGCTTGCCTGGCGAGCCGCCTGCCTTCCCTGCTGGCACCGCAGGCAGCTGCTGCTGCTGGGCTGCCGCCTCAGGTGCTGGCCTGCTGCGGACAGAGGGCTTGCCGCCACCCAGCGACCTCCTTCCCGTCGTGCGTTGCGCCGACCCTTGCACAGCCTCTGCTGGGCTGGTGGCCGCTGCCGCCGCCTGGTCCCTGTGCTGCCGCGCCCTGGTGTTACCGCCAGAGCTGCGATGCAGCAGGGGGGATGCTGCTGGCTTGACGGCCGGGCGTGGCTTGGCCTTGCCGCGTGCTGCCACCGCCTGCTGCTGCTGCTGGGTGGTGCGTCCGGTGATGGCTACAGGTCCCGCTCCTGAGGCTGCTGCTGCCTTGCAGGAAGACTTCCTGCCGGCTGCAGACTGCTTCTGCTGCGCGGGCGAGGCAGCCGTGCTTCCAGCCCTGCCGCCGCTGGGCCTGTGCGGCTTGCCGGCCGCCGCTCCCGCTCGCCCGCTGCCGCCGCTGGCGCGGCCCTTTGATTTGGCGGGGTCGGGATCCTCTGCCTCTCCGCTGCCGAAGAAGAAGGGGCTGAGCGGGTCCGTGCAGGCGTCAGGAGAGTGTGGAGAGCTTGCAAGCAGGTGATCCAAGGGGCCCGCGGGTTGTGTTTCTGCCGGGGAGGGCTGCAGTGCTTCCGCCTTGCCTCTGCGGCTAAAGGTGCGAGTGCTCATGGCCTCATCAGTGCCGGCCCGCTCAACACGAACCGCTGTGCAGGCTGGCCCAGGTGCGGGGAAGCGCTGGCAACCCTGCTGGAGTGATTGAAGCACCGGCGGAGATTTTGCCGATGTGCAAAGGTCACGCTGCTATGGTGGCCCGCGCCGCTGCCTGGTCGGCGGCCCAGCGGGCGGGTCAGGCGGAGGCCGGCTGTTTGAGAGTCGGCACGCTCGTGATGCAGCAAATTAGCCCCTGGTGCTTTCAAACAGGATGATTCCACCATGCATGACAAGTCGAGCAACTCCCAGCCCACGGCACGCGCAGCTGCAGCAGCGGCGGCGGCGGCACAGGGCGGAAGAACCCGAGGCAGCCGGCCGCTCCCTTGGGACGAGTTACGTGCTTCGTCCTTCTGCCGGATTTCGTGTGATTTGTTCTTACCAGCTCCATTAGCATCTTGATTGACTTGGCAGTGCCCTGCTTCGACAGAGGGAAGCCCCGCTGCAGTTGTTTGGAAGTGGGAAGTCCCTTTGCTGTCGTTTGGTGTCATGCTCCTTGAGCAGTGAAGCGGCTGAGCTGGCGCCTTGGAACAAAAAAGGTACCTGCAGTACCATCTCGTCACCCATGCTGACAATGCCGCACACTCGGGGGCCCATTCCTGTTGCACACAATCTCCTCTACTGCTCCTCTTACCCCGCGGCTAAGAAAGGCCTTCTTTGAAGGCGCTGGAGCTAGTGTCTAAACCCTCCGAGAGGGCACAGGTTCGATTCCTCCCATGTCGAAACTTTGTGAGGACAAACGCGGCATAGCTGACCGGCTCAGCGCCAATCCAAGCCAATTCCTTCGGGAACGCCTAATAGAATCGCCAAGGCTTCGGCACAGGCCTCCCCGGGACCCATTCACTACTAGTGGGGGGTACTGCACTTGGCGCGTCGGGCAGATCAAATAATGGTCTAAAGCTAGACGTTAAAACCGGGAAGTTAAGCCTGTGGAGGCTCTTCCCCACCTTTACCTTTACCTTCCTCTACTGCTACAAGACGCTGCCTGTGTGATCCAAGGTGAGGAGGCTGCAGTGCGGGAGGGCTGTCTGTGTTGTGCCAAACTGAGCGGTGCACACAGTGCCACTGAAAATGCCTGGTGCCCTTGGAAGCCTGCATGACTGCTCCTGGGGTGATGCTGCCTTGCGAGCAGAGCTCCCCGCCCTTGGGCGCCTTCTGAGCTCCCACTCTCCCCCTTGCCGCTCACCGCAGCCCCGGTGCCTCCCCATCTCCCAGCATGAAGCCCACCACCCTGCTGCTGGCGCTGTGCGCCGCCCTGCTGATCGGGTGCGCGTTGGCAGTCGCGTGCTGGCTGGGTCGCCCCGCTGACCGGGCGTACCCCACAGTGACTGTGCGGGACGGCAGCGGGAGTTCCCAGCTGCCAGCAAGATAGGGTGCTGTGCATAGGGTGTTGCGCAGGGCAGCAAGCCCAGATTGATGTTGTTTAGCCTGACAGTGACCCTGCTGCTGCCCCTGCCCCTGCAGGCCCCGTCTGCACTCGCTGGCTCAGCCCAACGTTGGGACGTATGGCCTCACCCCAGGTGCGCTGCCGACAGCCCGGTTTCAGTCACACGGGTTGACGCCAGGCAGCTGAGCGCACAACTGAGCCACAGCCTGCCGCAGCTGGCTGGGCATGCAACACGCAGCTGCCTGCCGCGGCTCGCCGCCTCCTGAATCCACATGCAGGGCTTTGAACCATGCCCCTCCTTCAGCCACCGCCGCTCCGCTCCCTCCGCTTGCCCCGCAGGCGCCAACTGCGGCTCCTTCTGCTCCTACAACGACGACTTTGGCATGACGCACGCCGACTGTGTGCGCTGGTGCCGCGACGAAGACATCTCCATCAGCCTCGCAGAGGTGTGCAGGGATTATGATCAGGTCCCCAAAGACGAGCAGGGCGACTGCGTCAAGTACTACGCCTCCATCGCCAACCCGGGCCAGAACAGGCCCTGAGGGGGCGGTGGCAGCGCGGGCGGCATGCCGCGCACCGCAGCGCCGCTCGCACGCCGTCGGCTCGCTTGGCTGTGCTGGAGCAAGCTGATTTCTAGCCCGTTTGCGCTTATGTCGAGACATCCTAGCAAGACACCCCCTTGTCTGTAACCCTGTTGGAGCGTATGCTGGATTAGCTCATGTTGATTGATTATACGATTGTGTTGGCTGCCCGTGTAAAGGCCTAGTGTGCCCTGCGCAGCAGCAGCAGCAGCAGCAGCAGCAACAGCAGCAGCAGTCAGCTGAGTGCCTGGAGGCAGCCCTGCCGCGGCCGCTCCCTGCCGCCCGGGCTCCAGGGGCGCAGCCAGCCACGCGCCCACTGCGACAGAGCAGCTGACTCATTCATGCGCATGCTTGTGCTGTGTGGCAGCAGATGGCATGCCCACTAGTGCAATGCTGCCATCCTATGGGTGTAGCTGGCGGGACAGGGCGGTGGCGGCATGATGGAAGAAAGTTTCACATGAGGATGATGTGGGCTCGTTGCCTGAGCACTCGTCGTTACGGCTCCAGTGTGCAAGGTGAGGAGGGCTGGTGGGACAGGTTGTTGTACCCTGCTGTAGTTGGGTTGTGGCGCAGCCAGCGAGGGACGTGCAGGGCCGTACTCTTGCAGCTTGCAATTCGAGAGCTGCACCAGGGGCGATTCTGCCACTCGATAATGTTGTGAGCCGCTGAGCAGCACACGGGTGCCTGCTCAGCTCCCTGCTGCTCCCGTGCCGCCCCTGCCGATCACCGCAGCCCCGGCGCCTCCCTGCCTGACGCGATGAAGCCCACCACCCTGCTGCTGGCCCTGTGTGCCGCCCTGGTGCTCGGGTGAGCAGCGGCGGTGCACGCGCGTATGCCAGACCAAAGCGTACCGGATTAAAGCGTACCGGACAAGCGTGGCACTAGTACTGTGACTGTTGCAGCCTGTCTGTCTGTCTGTTACACCCATAAGGAGCAAATGAATGCTACGGGCCCAGCTGTGGTGCAGCAGCTGGAAAGGTGAAGGCACCATACACAAACGGGGAGAGAGAGAAGGGGGGGGGGGTGGGGGGGGTGCAAACAGAACAGGGGGGGAGAGGCTGATTGAGGCGGGTCTCCCCGGGGGCAGTGCGGACAGGCGCCTGAGCAGCCCTATGCCGGTCCCGCCAGAGAGTTCACCGCCCCTTCCTCCTCCCCCTGCCCTGCACAATATAAAGATCAATCAATCAAGGGTACTGTGTTACTGTGGGCTCACGGCGTCCCGCGCCTTCTTGCGGCATGCAGCCGCCAGGGCTGCCAGCTCGGTGTTGCTCTGCTGGAAGAATGCGCTGAGGGGGACGGACGCCGGCGGCAGGCCCAGGAACTCGTGGAACAGCTCCGGCCAGCGCTCGCGCTCGGCGGCATACAGGGGGCACACAAACAGGATGTGTCGGGTGTCCTCAATGCCGCCAGGGCCATCCAGGGCGGGGCAGTGCGGGCACACGCGCTGCTCGCGGGGCGTGCCAGTGCGTCGCCCCTGCTCCTCCGCCCCCCAGTGCATGCCTGTGCGCAGCTCGGTCAGGCCGCGGCGGCAGCGCCGCTCACGCACCTCCGTGACATACGGTGGGCGGCCATAGCCATCCAGGCTACAACACTCCGGGCGCACATCGCAGAAGTAGTGGCGCAGCCGGGTGTGGGCGGGCGTCTCTTGCGTCACACGCGCCAGGTGGAGCCGCAAGGTTGCCTGCTGCGTGCCGTCCGGGCTGATCTTGTCCAGCGAAACATGGTTTCATGACACCCAGATTGGGCTGCCAGCTGCTGCCGCCCCTGCAGGCCCCGCCTGCACGTGCTGGCTCAGCCAGGGCCCCCAATCTGGCCGGTTGTGACCAACCTCCGCGACACTCGGGGCGACACGCCGGGTGCGTGCCCATCAGCGCTGCGCAAGCATGCCGAGCGGACATGCCGCATTAGCGTACACGCATGCAGGCTGTGCACGCATGCGGGCAGACAGTTGCATGCAGCTGCCCCAGTGGACTCCACCTAGCAGCCGTGCCACCTTAAGCTTGAGCTGCCGGCGAGCCGGCGCCCACCCCATCCAAGTTGCCGCCCCCGCAGGCGCCAACTGCGGCTCCCTCTGCGCCTACATCAACGCGGCCCTCTGGTACGACAACGGCGCTGAGGCAGAGTGCGTGCGCAGCTGCCGCGCCCTCGACCTTGACAGCAGCAACAGCGTCGGCGACCGTTGCCAGTCAGCTGACGACCAGGACGCCTGCGTCAAGGAGCTGGCCATGCGGTTTGCCCCGGGGGCGCTGGCGCCTGGCGAAAACAGGCCCTGATCACGGCGACCGTCACGGCGCGGCGACCTAGGTCTGCACCTCGCTGCCACACAGCTGGCTGGCTCCCCGCCACAGCGCCTCATCCTCGCCGCACCATAACATTAAGCGCCTCCAGCTGCATGTTGATTGACTGCTCCGGCAGTTTCCATGGGTGGTAATTACTCCATTGCAACCTCACAGCCTCCCTTTGTAACGCATCATGCCAAGTGGCGTCGCATGCTGAGCGCGGCATGAGGTGCAGCACCATCAGCAAACACAGCAGTGCCCTGGCTCGCGCTGCCTGGCAGGTGCGGCTCAAAGCTCAGTTTCAGTGCGGTTGCAAACAGCATGCTTGCAATCCGCGCACATGATCATGACAGGCAGCGAAGGGCGAGTGGGCATGAGCAGAAAGTGAAGGGACAACTGAGGCAGAGGCGGGAGGTCCTCTGGCACGGGCGATGGGTGGTCAAGCGGTGGGTGGTGCAGCAGCGGAATGCCACGGCGGCCGCGCTACTGGCCGCCTGCGGCCCCTCCGCCGGGCCTGGGCGCGGTGAAGGCGGAGAAGGAGCCGCCCCCGATGCCGCCGCTGCCGCCGCTGCCGCCGCTGCCCCCCGAGCCGCCGGCGCCGCCAGACAGGCCCGACCCGGCCATGCCCAGGAAGGCAGGCGGCGGCGAGGGGCCGGACGCGGCCTGCCCCGCGGGGGCCTGCCCCTCGGCGGCCTGCCCCACGCCCCCAGAGTGCGCCATCACGAGTTCGCTGAGGGTTGGCAGGCCGGCAGAGGTGAATGGGGACATGCCGCCGCTGGAAAGCATGTCGAGGAAGGAGCGCAGCACGCCCATGTCCAGGCTGGCGGCGGGCAGCGGCTCGTCGCCCTGCGCGGCGCGGCAGGCGCGGCAGGCACAGCAGGAGCGGCGCGTGAGCAAACGGGCGAGCAGAACGGCGGCACGCTCGCGCCGGGGGCGGCGGTAGTGGAGGGGAGCCTCGCGGGCAGCCAAATGGAAGGGAGGAGAAGGCGCAGACGCACGCAGCAGGGCAGCAGGGAGATCACCAGCGCTTGGAACGCGGCATCCAGCCCCGCGGCGGCCTGGGGCGGCGGCAGGCCGGCGCCGGGCTCGCCGCCGGGCTCCCCCACCGTGCCGCCGTCGTGAGCGGAGCGCAGGAGGGCGTTGCTGACGCTCTGCAGAAGAAGGCTGCTCATCTGCAACAAAGCGTGGGCAGCGGTGTGTGTGCGACAGAACGTGGTGGTTGTGGTGGCGGCGGCGGCGCCGGCAGCAACGTGCCGGCGCCGAGGCAGGCCCATGCGCGGCGGGCAGCACAGCAGGCCACGGCGCAGCAGGAGGCTGTGGACTGCCCTGCCCGCAAGCAGCGGCATGCGCCGTGCGCGATCCAGGGGGCAGGTAGCAGCTGATAGCTAGCTCTCAGGCTTGCCTGAGCATCCAGGGCCCGCAGCATCATCGAATCATCCTCCAGCTGCATCCCCATGCCTTGCTGCGCCTGCTGCGCCTGGCCGGCGCCCAGCAGGGTGCCGCCGCCGGCCGCCGCCTGGTGCTGCTGCAGCTGCAGGTGCTGCTGCTGCTGCTGCAGGTGCTGCTGCAGCTGCATGGACAGAGTGGGACCCAGCGTGTCGCCAGCAAGCGGCGCGCCCGCTGGCCCCACAGGGCTCGTGCCCGGCATGCCCACAGGCGCCGAGCCGCCCGGCGGCAGGCCCGGCAGGCCAGGCTGCGCCTGCTGGGCCTGCTGGGCCTGCTGGGCCTGCTGCGCATGCTGCGCAGCATCGTGCAGTGGCTCCTGCAGCGGGATCTCGGCCAGAAGCTCGCTCAGGGGCTTGTGCCGCTTGCGGCGCTGCTGCAGGTCGGGCCGCTGCCGCCGCACCGCCGCCGCGCCCTCCGGAGCTTCCTCCATCTCTGCGCTGCCGGCTCGGCCTGCGGCAGCCGCCGCGGCCGCCGCTGCGCCGTCATGCCCCGCCAGCCCCGCGGCAGCGGCAGACGACCCCGCTGGTCCGCCAGCCGCCGCCGCTGCAGCCGGAGCAGCAGCGGTGGCAGATGCAGCCAGCGAGGCGCCGCCCGCGGCGTCGGGCGTGGCCACCAGGCGGGGCTGCAGCATGCCGCCTGCGGCCGCAAGGAAGGGCCCCGCAGCGGCACCGGAGCCGTCTGCGTGGCGGGCCACTGCTGCCACCCAGGCCGCCATTTTCAGCGCCGCCTCCGCCTTGGGGCCGGAGCTGAAGGGATTGGGCGGCAGCAGGCGGGCCAGCAGGCGGCGCAGGCGCGCAGGGCGGCCGTCCTCGCCGCCGCCCTGCGACGCGGCGCTGGCGGCGCGCTGCGGGCAGGCGCGGGGGCGGCGGCGTGTGCGTGCGTGTGTGTGAGGTAGCGGTGGTGCTGGGCGCTGCGCCCTGCACACTACACCCCGCGCGCCACGGTCTGAGCTCGCGCCAACACACACCCCACCCCCCCGAGCATCAGGCAAACCGCAAACCGCCGCCTGCAGTGCAGGCTGCACGCACGCTGCCACCGCCCCGCTGCATGCCGGCCAGCCTCGCAAGCTGGCGTCTCGCGAGCTGGCACCTTGCCAGCCGGCGCCAGCTGGCGCCTCGCCGGCCCCCACCTGGGCGTCCAGCACGACGGTCTGCCCCGTGGGATCTTCCCGCAGGGCCGCCACTAGCGCCGCGTGGTCCCCCTCATCCACCTCAAGCTCCTCCAGCAGCTGCGGGGGGCAGGGGCAGGGGAGGAGAGGTGGGGAGGGAGAGGTGGGGGAGGAGGGTCTGATGGTGTTGCGTGAGAGTTCAGATGCAGTGAAGAGGGGGCGTGGGCAGGGGAGAGAGACGGCGGCATGGGTGGGCAGGGGCGGGGAGGTGGCAGCGTGAGAGGGCGCGTGGCGGAAGGTGAGAGAGTGATCGGCGGAGGGAGTGAAGAGAGATGCGCAGCAGCGTTGCTGAGCATGTGTGTGTGTGAGAGAGAGGTAGGGAGCAGGGGGGGCGGCAGAGGGGTTCAAGCAGCCAGGCTGGCCAGAAGGGCAGGCATGGTGGCTACGGAATCGGCGCTCAGGGCAGGCGCTGCCGCAGGCGCAGGGGCAGCGGCGGCATTGGGGGTGGGAGGGGGCGGTACGGGCCGCACCTTGCGGTACAGTGCCAGCTGGTGCACCGTCAGCGCCAGCGCCCGCTTCGCCAGGTCGACCAGGGAGTTGGTCTGGGCGTCGCTCTGCACACACACACACACAAATGGATATTCAACGGATGCACATACCGGCAGGCAGGCCGGCAGCGTGGCAGGCAGCCGCGGGGCGAAAAGGATGCCAGTAGGGCGCGGGCGGGCTGAGGCAGGCAGGCGTTATGGCGCGGCGCAGCGGCCGCGGGACAGCACGCATCCGGCCCCGTGGCAGGGCAGGAGGCGTGCCAGCCTGCCAGCAGGCGCTCTGGCTGGGGGTACATGACTATGTGCTTGGCTGGCACTATGTCCTTGGCCTCTCACCGCCGAGAAGGCGTCTGGAAGCCATATGGTGGGCACGGGTCGGGGCCCCCCAAGCATGCCGCCCGGGGCGTCGGCGGTCCCCAGGGTTCCGGCAGTACCGGCGGTACCGGCGGTACCAGCAGACAGCGTGGGCTCGCTGGCCATCGGCTCGCCCTGGCTGTCGGAGCCGGGGCTGGCAGGGGCGCGGCCGCTGCACAGGCAGGCGTGGGGCGGCAAAAGCGGGGCATGGGGGCGCGATCGGGGCAGAATGGGGCCAGCGGGACAGGCCCGGCAAAGCTGAGGTCAGGCATAACCCAGGGCTGGTAGATGCGGGGGCAGTGACATGGGGCTGCAGGGTCAGGCAGGCCTGCAGGGGGCCTGTGCAGGCAGCGCACAGCAGGCAAGGCGGGCAGGCTGTGCGGCGGCGAAACAGGCGTGAGCGGCGGGGCCGCGACGCACCCGCCTCCGCCGCCGTGCCTGGCTGCCTTGGTGCGCTGCTTCTGCAGGTGGTTCTTCACGTTCTGCAGGCAGGCAGTCGGGCAGGCAAGCGCAGGGCGTGTTGATTGTGAAAAACAATGAATACATCAAGGGGCCGCGCCACCGAGTGGCGGCGCCTGGAGCCAGGGCGCCCGGCGCTTTCCAACCTGGAGGGTGAGGAAGGGGTAGCTGGGCTGCAGCATGTCCAGCAGCTGCTTGGGCCGCGCATCCTGCAGCCCGCCGCACTTCTCCAGCGCCGCCAGGTACGCATCCTGCAGGCTGCAGGCGGTGGCAGAGGAGGCACGCACGCGGCGGGCAAGGCAGGTCGGCTGGCCGAGGGCGGCAGCGGGGGCGGGGCAGGAGGGACCTGAATGCTGCCGGCCAGCCGCGGGGACGGGGGTGCGACGCGAGAGCAGGGGCCGGGGCGGCTGCGACGTCGGCAGGCGGCGGCAGGCGGGGCGATTCCAGGGCGAGCCCAGCGGCAGAGGGCGCTGTGCGGGGCCGCTGCTGTGCGGCGCCGCTCACTCGTCGCTCCACTTCAAGTAGCGCCTACGGTGGTCGCCTTCGTCGTCCCCAGACATGCTGGGAGGGGCTCACGTGGCCCTCCGCACAGCGCCCTGCCAAGCCCTGGCTTGGCAAGTCGAAAGTGGGCGGCGGGCGGGGGTGGGCAGGGCGGGTGCCGGGTGAGCGTGGGCCGCCGCTGCTGCGTACCTTGCAGCCAATGCTGCAGGGGTTCAGGGCGCAACAGGTTGGGGTGGCTGCAAGGACGTGGGCTGGCAGGCTTGTGCCAAAACGCAGTTGCCAGGCCCGGCAACTGGCATTGGCGCGGAGCTGAAGCTAGGATGCTGAGGAGGAAAACCCGCTGCAGGGACTCGTGGAGCGCCGAGACATCAGCCTGCGCACATCGCGCTGCTCACCTGCGCTCCTCTTCACAGCTCGTAGGGTGCCGATGAAAAGCAAGCAGAGCAGAGAATATTGAATAGCGATCTCACCCGCGGCTCTGCCAGAGGAGCGGTTCCTTTGTGCCCTGATGAGAGGGCACAACCTCATGAGAGCACCCCATGCGTGCATTCCCACATGCACGATTTATAACACAGAGAGAGGGCAGATTGCAGGCAGCCGGCAAGCGCCTGCGCTGCGGCTGCGGCTCCGGCGCAGCCGTGCAGCGACCGCTTCGAGGCGGCCTCTCCTGGGGCGGCCACCAGTCATCGCATGGGGAGTGCATCGGTGCGGTCTCTCCCACATGGACCTCTGCAGCCCTATCACGACATGAACTCGCCGTCATCGTCATCCCCGCCCTCGCTGCCATCAAACCGCCGCGGGCCGCGCATCGGATCCATCGTCGCCTCTGGCAGGAAGTCTTCCCGCTGCAGGCAGAGGCAGGCAGGCAAACCGCTCATTAGCTGTGGTATCAGGGCAGGCAGGCAGGCAGCCCAGGGCGGCCAGCGCAACCTCGCCTCCTCCCAGCCAACTCCCCGCCAGCGCGAACCGGTTCTAAGCAAACGAGAGCACAAACGGGCGCCAGCTGGGATCCTGGTATACCCAGCACCAGGGCACGGCCCGCCCCACGCGCCTGCGGCACGGGCCAGTCCTCGTTCTGTCCGCCCACCACCAGCTGGCGGATGCCCAGCTGCTCTTTAGACACGCTGGACAGCGCATTCACCAGCACATCCAGCGCCAGCTCATCCGCTGTGCCCATGTCCAGCCTGATTGTGGCAGGGCAGGGAGCGGGGGGGGGTGGCAGGGCGGGCGGGCTCGGGGCGAGGAATCGGCCACGCCGCCAGCAGCAGGTGCACGGCAGAGAGGCCAGCCTCACCGCAGCGACAGGCAACGCAGGCAGCGGCAGGCGCAGCGGGCAGCCGGGAGGCCCGCAAGCGCCGGAGGCCGCCACCGCCAGCTGGGGTTGGCAGATCCCACAGCGAGCGCGGCGCCGCAGGGGCGTTGCCCAGGTGCGCCTGCGCCGCCGGAGGTGCCACCCAGGGAGAGGCGCCAGGTGTGACACTCAGGCGGTCCCACCCACCCACCAGAAGCGGGCCCAGGAGCCTTGCGCCTCCAGCTCTGCCATCTCATGGAAGGTGGCGGGCATGGCGGCGGCCTCCTCAGTATCATACGCCAGGTCCTCCAGGTCGCCGTCCTGGTGGTACAGCACCTGCAGTACACGTGCGATACAGACGGGTGTCGGCAGCACGTGCGGTACAGGCAGCGCGGGCGCTGGGGGAGGCGGCAGCACTGGAGCGCAGCAGGCTCCATCGCCGCCCGCAGCAGCAGCAGCAGCAGCAGGAGGCGCCTGGTGGCAGCAAACCAGGCACGCTTGGCGACTCCCCGCTGCCGCACAACTGCACACCTGGAGGTTTGAGGAGTTGTAGGCTCCCAGCCGCCCAAGCAGGTACCAGCTGTTCAGCACCTCCTGCAGCACAGCACAGCACAGCACAGCAGGCGCGTGCCAGGCGAGGTGAGCCGGCCGGCGGGCGCGCAGGCAGGTTGCGGGGAGCCACGGAGAGCAAGCAGGCAGGCAGCCAGGCAGCCAAGCAGGCAGCAGGCGCAGCCGGCGCCAGCTTCGCGCTGCCGGCCGCGTGCGCGGCAGGGGCCGCCACCGGGCGCTTGCGCTGCCCGCCAGCTGGCAGTGCAGCCAGCCTGGGCACGATGCCCAGCCAGCCCCGCACCTGTAGGAGCTCAAGGTCTCCACCCGTGGGAGGCCGGTACAGCTCCAACCACACCCACAGGCTGAACTGGTCCACCGGGCTGCGAAAACTGCGGACAGGCAGGCAGGCAGACGCGCACCGGGAGCTGGTGCCTTCTGTGCGCGCCCTGCCACCTGGTGCATGCCTGCGGCTTACCAGAGGGCCGGCTCCCGCCCTGCTGGCCCCTCTGCGAGCAAGCAGCGGCCTGCCCAGGACATGGGTCCACCCACCTGACTTCCATGGGGGCATCCTCCCCGCCATACTTGGTGCCAAGGATGCGAGCCTGGATGGCATCCATCTCTGCACACGCACAGCGCCGGACCATAGCGGTATCGACAGGGTGGTGGTGGTACCGGTTCGGCTGATCCACTGGATCCCGCGGCTGTGTGCTTCCGTGCGAGCTCAACAGGGCAGGGCCCAAGCAAGCGGCCGCGGCAGCACAGGGATGGAGCGGGAGCGGGCCGGCGAGGTGCTGAGAAGGCCACGGCCGCCGCCGCGCCACCCACCGTCCCGCATGCGCCGCTGCACCACCTCCGGGTCGCCGTTGGCGCCTGCCAGCAGCCGCGCTGCATCCTCATCCAAGTCAGCGGTCTCCTCCAGCTCTCTGCACAGCGCTCCCAGGCAGGCAGGCAGGCAGGCAGGCAGGCTCCGGTTCACCAGGCAGGCAGGCAGGCTCCGGTTCACCAGGCAGCCATGGGCGGGCGGCGCGGCACTGGCATGGAGCGAGAGCGGCAGAGCTTGCTGGCAAGAACATGTGGAACCATCGAGGCTCTATTCGCGCCGCTACGGAGAGCTTTGCGGGGCTGCAGATCGCACCTGAGCCAGTCTGGCTTGTCCGCTGCAGCCGTCGCCATGCCCCGCCGCCGCCGCCGCCGGTCGATGTGTCTAGCGGCCGGCGCTGCGCGGCGCTGCAGCAGGGCCGCGTGTAAAAGCCGCCTCCCGGCTGCTGGCTCGCAGGCCCTGCCGCTGGTGGAGGGTAGCGAGCTGGAGGCTGCACAACTCAGAAATGCGCTCATCTCGCAGTTGTTTGTCGTCCGCCGCCTGCTGAAAGGCCCTGAGATCCCAGCGCACAATTAAGACGATGCCGACGCGCACTCATGGCGGCTTTCTATAGTCCGCCGCCACGGCGGCGGCGGGTCCCCGCCCCATTGCACTCCCGGCTCCTCCTGTGTAAGCAGCCCACACCTCGCACAATTAGCACCATTTGGGAGGTCTGGAGACATCGTCAAGAGGCCACAACCAGGCCACAGCATGCGTCCAGCTCACACGCACGCGTCCACGTCACATGCACGCATCCAGCTCACACGCATGCTTCCATGTCACACGCATGCATCCAGGTCACATGCATGCTTCCAGGTAACATGCATGCACTCCCTGCTGCTGCCGGCACAGAGTTTGCATAGCCTTTGGAGGGCGCCAGAGGCGGCGGCGGCAGCAGGAGGTGGTTGGGGGGCGACTGAGGCATTCAATGTTGCTGCTCGCATAGGAGGCCCGCCGCACGCTGCCGTCAATTAGAACACACTCTTTCGCCCCTGCCTGCGGCAACGCACCCGTTGTTACCAAGTTGCGTGGGCCGGCATTCCGGAGATCCCGCACGGTCATTGGTGGCCTCCGCAGCAAGAATCCACAAACATGTCAAATGAGAGCGCGCTGGCGCGATGCAGCGGGGTGGCGCTCAAGCCGCCGCCGCCGCCTTGCTCCCGCTGCCGCCACTGCCGCCATGCCGCTGCCGCCGCTGCCAGCCCTGCACATTCTCGAGAGGCCGCATCCAGGACCATGCATCCAGCTCACACGCGCGCGTCCACGTCACAAGCATGTGTTTTGCTCCACAATCAGCCCGCAGCCCACATCTTTCGGATGCATCAGGCATGGAGAAACACAGAATTTCATGAAGACCTTACAGCCAAACTATAGAGCAGTCCAAACACCACTCCTACGGCCGCCTGTCACCAGCGCTGGCTGACCGCCACCGTTGCGCTGCCTGCAGTCCCGCCCTGAACCCCCACTCTCATGTCCACCCCCTTTGCTCTTACCGCACCACACCTGCTCCACGACATGCAGTACTGCCTGCCCGCTCACACACTAAACGCTCGGTGACCTGTCAGTTGGCCTGTCCTGCCTGTTGTTCTACTGCTTCATCCCTCCTTGCTCGAACAACAAAGTCTGTGCTGCAAGCTTGTTCTTGCTGAAACCAGACTGTAAGCCCACACAAGCAAGCAAGCGGCTGGCCCTGCTCCTGGCGGTGGTGCGCCGCCTCCAGCTCTTGCTGCACCACCGCCC